TTAATGATAATCAAAATCCTATTGACCAACTTTACTCCTATCAAAATCCCAAAAAAGAACAGCCCAAAGTGAATTTTAAATCGAAGGGCGCACTAATAATTAGTGACATATCATATTAGCCGAGCCATGTCAGTTGGTGACTTTACAAACAATTGCACTTGAACGAAATCAAATTGGATGATGAATTGGTAAAGCCAAAATTCCTATGTGACACTTACATGTTGGGAAATTGGCTCCACATCACCACATTCCCAAAACACCAGATGCCTTACATAAAGTTTTGTTTCATGGACAGCAGACCCAAATATGCTTTTTTTTTCTGAAAATCACATAAGAAACTTGTTTGGTGGAGAATGAAGATGCATGCTGCCAAGGTGTTCAAGCGTTTCGATTTAATTTTTATGAGATTTTCATTATGAAATGTAATAAATCTCTCAGAAAATTTGTCAGATTTCTTAATGATGAAACATAATTTTAAGGCTCTGTTTGGAAGGAGTACAAATAAAAATATGTACAGTGTAAATACATACAAAATAATATAAAATACAATATTTTGTATTCTATAAATTTATATTTGTACTCCTTCCAAACTGAGAAGCTTCAAATTTGACTCCTACGCTGTTACAGGACATTTATTGATTTTTCAAATTTAAACTTTAAAACCTAAACCCAATACCTTAAAAATCCTAACCTTAAACCATACAAACTAAAGTTCAAACTCTTAAATCCTATAATCTTAAACTCATAAACCCTTTAACCCCTAAACCATAAAACCTTGAAATCTAAATTTTAAACCCTTAAACCCATACTTCTAAACCGTAACCCTAAACTTTAAATTTATTGTATATCTTCTATCGGGGTAGGAGGCTGGAGCCAAGTATTTTTCCACACATAAACAAAATATAACATAGAAAAAATTAAAAAAATTCTACAACTTAGGCTATGTTTGGTTTGAAGGAAAAGGTATAGAAAAGAAGGGAAAGACAGGTAAACCTATACAAAGTTTATAAATGTTTCTCAACCTTTCCCTGCATTTTCCTTCAAACCAAACATAACCTTAATGAAACCAAGGGGGTCGGTTGGTCAGATTTTGCTCAATCAGAATGAATATGAAAAGATCAAAAAGTTTGACTAACCCGAATCCAGCCCAATACCCGATCAAAGCTGACAAGAATATGATCCTATATGGTCAAGTCAAGCTGGGTTAGCACCAGCATTTACAACATAGCCATTGACCCATTTTACTGAGAGTTGCACTTGCCTACCCACATAAACAAAGAATATGTTCTGTCATGAAAGCTTGGATTATGGCATAACAAAACTATTGGCCAAACCAAGGAGACTTTTGATAGATGATGTAATCGTTTATAGTCACGTACCAATTTTTTTGGCTAAGTACCTCGTCATTTGACCTAGTGGTGAAGTGCCTGGTGACGAACTGCATGGAGGTGAGCTACTTGGTGATGAACTCCCTGGTGGTGAGCTACATGGTGATGAGCTCCCTGGTGGTGAGTTACCTGGTGGCGAGCTACCTATGAGGTGCCGAGCTGCTTGGTGGCGAGCTGCTTGGTGACGATCTCCCTCGTGGTGAGCTGCTTGGTGACGAGCTCCCTGGTGGCGAGCTCCCTACTATGCGGCCTGTGACTCAGAGAATGGTGGAGCTCCCTGGTGCAGCGCAACCCGACTGCCCTCTGCAAGAGGTGACCTTCTTTCCTTTGTAGGCATTGGGAGTTGAGGGACCTGCGAGAACTCCATATTTTCCTCCTCTTTGTAGGCGGTGGGAGCTGAGGGACCTGCGAGAACTGAATCAGAGGACCCAGGGGTATTTTCCTGGCGGGGACTCTCCGACGCCTAAGTTAGCACTCTGATTGTAGAGAGCTTGAAGATGATTTTGGAGAAATGAGAGAACTAGAGAGCAGGAATTACCTCCATTCCCCCCCCCCCCCTTTGGGGGGTGAGGTCTTTATATACTGAAGTCCTCGCGGGTTAGGTTGGTGAAAAGCCTCCAAACGGTAAGACTCGTCACATCCCGTCAGAACTGGGGTACGGTGGTGAACTCCTTGAGGTCGTCAGGCTAGCGCTTGCGTCAGGCGGCCAGGTCGGCGCCTGTGTCAGTCGGCGAGTCGGTGTCTGGGCCAGGTTGTCAGGCAGGAGATCTTCCTGCGATACGCCATACTCTTCTGTACCGAGCTACCCTACAAGTGGCGAGCTGCCCGGGGGAGCTATGCCGAGCTGCTTATGGCGAACTCTGCCGAGCTGCCTGGCTCCTTGGTGAGCTACCGAGCTCGTGGGGTATGCATGCCAAGTTTATCGGTGGGTGTCTTATGGGCGGCTAGGTCGATCAGGTCGGATCATGTGCCAGGCTGATCCAGGTCGGCCAGGTTGCGTAGGTCGCGTGCAGGCCATGTGCAGGTCGCGTTAGGCCACGCCAGGCCGGCCAGGCCGGTGCCCAGGTGGGACACCAACTTGGTAAGTTGTTGCCTAATTGTCACAAGGTGCCACGTGTTCTAATTTCAATGGAGGGCCAAATCTGCCCTCATCAATAGAGATACTAAATTACTGGCCTATTCTTTTCTTTTCTTCGCGATGGGTTGGGTAGATATTGCCTCATGGCATTTCTATATTTCTGTTAGACAGCGTTGATGAAGGGTGATTTTTCCTTTAGTGATATTGCGACACTTGGTGTTCCAAAACTAAGTCATGACATCTCAATGCCACGTAGGCAATAACATCAAGAACACTTTAGGCACACTTCGCTTTGCCTTAAATGACCCAACACCACCTCGGCAAGGCTGACATGTGGATGTCGTGATATGATCAGGTCAGCGTGAGGGGCGACCTCTCACCAACAACCTGGCTGAGGCCCAGACAACGACCTGCGTGATGTGGTGGCCGACCTCCATTATGTGTGGGCCGCCTCCGAATCCTTCGGGGTCACGTTGCCTCATCAACGGAGTTGACTCCCGCCCTACTCGCTTCGGAGGTGACTACATAAGTCCTATCGCTTTACATAGAATATATTTTCGAGCATGAAACTACATCCGAACAAGGCGAACTGGTAAGCCATATCCTCTTAGAGATCTTGGACACACTACGTGAAGTTTACGACAACCAATGCCTATATAAAAGCATCCCATTGATCAGAGAAGGTAGCACGATTTTGCTCTCAGACCCTCTAAGTTCTCTTGCTTTCTAGCATCCACACACACTCTTAGTTAACTTAAGCATTTGAGTGCCACATCGGGTAAAGCACCCCAGATACTTGGACTTCTAGTATCTTACAGATCGGCCAGTCAACCTTGCCACTTCGACATCCGAGTTGTCCTCCAGTAGGGAGCACCAGATCGTGGACCATCAAGCCTAAACTTCAAACATTAACTTTGGTTATCAGATAAGAGATCAACTTCAGTGATCACACTATTCTCACAACCTTTACACTAGTATATTGGGAATATCTCCATATTTGTGTCCTTTTTTTCACGAGGAGATATTCCAAATGCACAACTGAAAGCGGTTGTACAAACAGTGTGAGTACTGAAGCAGTTTTCATCCGATCAACATGGAAGGGGATAACTTTGGGGGGCAAACAACCTATTTTGTTGAGAGCATTTTTGGGCTGGACATGTTAACCTATTTATGCCCATATCTATTGTTTTGGTTAAAAGAAAATATGGGAATCCGGATCTGCTCCTCACAAAGGTTGTGTTTGGAATCAATGTAAATTGTTGTTGGTGTAAAAGTACACTGATGACGTTTTACACTGAACCATCATTAAGTAACCGTTGTATTTTTGAAAAACGTGATACAATCAGTGTAAATTTTTACATCAATTATTGATGTTGTAAAACTTTACATATAATGAGGCTTTACATTGATTTACAACATAAAACTCCACTCCATCCAAACGCTTGTAAAACTAAAACAGAATGGAGTTTTACGTCGATCATTATTATACACTATTTCCGGACGCAACAAAACCGAACCAATATAAATATTTATATCGTTCTTGATTTACACTAATTTCAAAACAGCCAAAGTGCATTTCACACCAACCTCACATCATGTCATCACTGTATATCAGGAACATTTTTCCTATTTGCATTTATTATTCATGGAAAGATATTCCTAATACAAGGTGAAATGTGACTCTGAGGTCGGAGTGAGGCACGCATCATGAAGAACTGGTACCAATTCGGGTAATTAATATTTTATCCCACTCTCATAGTATCGTATCATGTCCGAGGAACGCTCTCAATAACATACGCCATCATACGTTACATGGGGTGGGGTAGACTAATTGCACCCGAATTCCTTTTTCAGATAAGTATCGGACAGGCCCATGCATATTTCTGATTTTCACTGAAAATTATAAACATTCAAAAGGTTAATAACCCCCACTCTATGCATCTATAGCCGATCGTTCCGAACCGACACCACCCAAAATGTAATTTTAACCTACAAATTTTGACCCTGTGCTGAACCGTCATCCTCCCTTTCTTTTTTGACATAAAAGTTAAAACTAAACACGGGCATGGATAGTTTAACATGTCGAGTCCAACGGCCAAAGTTAACTCCGGCTAAACGCTATGTGTTGGCATTGGTGGTCGGGTGGGCTGGAAACTTAGTACGGGTATGATCCCCGTCGTAAACACAGCGACTCGGAAAAACAGAGGATCGCATCCCCGACCGGCTGACCCTGACCCTGACCCTGACAATCATGTCTACTGGGCCAAAGGCATAGACACTAGACAGCCTTTGCTCCCATAACATCCACAACGAAGCTTCTGCTTTCAGTCTTCCGCTGTCATTCAAACGCCGTCAAAAACACACCTATTCAATACTATGCTCATTAACCCATAGCCATAGAGATCCTACGATCCAAAGCCCATCCTTGAAAAGGTAACGTTCAGGACATTCCGTCAACCCTCCGTTAGTCACCGTCGAAAACAAGATATACGGCCACAAGCAGACCGTGTTCACGTTTAACGTTCAGAGCTCAGTCTTCCCTTCTGCGACAAGGGAGGAAGCACGCCTGAAACGGTGGAACCTCTTTCTCTCTCTCTCTCATTTGTTCAATTGTTCCTTTTCTTTTCTTTTGTTTATATTTATTCATATTGTAGAGTCGATTCTCCTAGAAGCTGCAACAGGGTTTTGCAAACTCTTACTTAATCCGGCTTCAACCATCTACGCTTCCTAACTGGATTTTGACAATATGCCTAAAGAGCTACAGAGTGCAGAGATGAGAGGCATTTGCAGTTGCAGATACTTTCTTTTCTTTGTTTCAGTCTGTCTCGCTTTCTCCATTCCAACTTCATCTACAGATCTTATCGTCTTGATGAAGATCAAAACCGCCATGATTGGTCCGAAAGGTTCTGGCCTGGACGACTGGATAGTTTCATCTTCTCGGGCCTCGCACTGCCTGTTTTCTGGCGTCTCGTGTGACGAGAATTCACGAGTAGTTTCTCTCAATGTTTCATTCGTTCCTCTATTTGGAACAATTGCTCCGGAGATCGGCCTGTTAAACAATCTCGTCAATCTTACTCTTTCATGCAACAACCTTACTGGAAAATTTCCTGCGGAGATCGCAAACCTCACCTCTCTCAAGCTTCTAAACCTCTCGAATAACATCATGTACGGTCATGTCCCAGAGAGCATTTTTGGAGGTTTGCTTGAACTGGAGGTATTCGACATCTATAACAACAACTTCTCGGGTCCGCTCCCCATAGAGCTCGTCAAACTTAAGCGGCTTAAGCATCTGCATCTAGGCGGGAATTACTTCTCCGGTGAGATTCCCTCTGTCTACTGCGAGATTCAGAGCTTGGAGTACTTAGGCTTGAACGGAAACGGACTGTCTGGCAAGGTCCCGGCGAGTCTAAGCAGGCTATCGAATCTACAAGAACTCTACATTGGTTATTTCAGCATGTATGAAGGAGGCATTCCGCCCGAGTTTGGTTCGTTAAGTTCGTTACGTATGCTTGATATGGGAAGCTGTAATCTCACCGGTGAGATTCCTGCAAGTTTGGGCCGTTTGAAGCTGTTGCATACCTTGTTTCTACAACTTAACAGATTATCAGGTCTGATTCCAGCGGAGCTCTCCGGCCTTGTCAGTCTGAAATCGTTGGACCTCTCCAACAATGAACTGACGGGAGAGATTCCGAAAGGCTTCTCTGAGCTAAAGCAGCTAACTCTCCTTAACTTGTTCCGTAACCATCTACACGGTCGAATCCCATCGTTCATCGCCGACCTTCCTTACCTTGAAGTCTTGCAGCTTTGGGAGAACAACTTCACCTTCGAGCTCCCTGTAAATCTCGGTAGTAATGGTAAGCTAACGAAACTTGACGTTGCTACAAATCATCTCACCGGAATGATACCTCGGCATCTGTGCGACGGTAAGAGATTGGAGACATTAATATTGATGGATAATTACTTCTTTGGACCGGTTCCAGAAGAGCTCGGCGACTGTAAATCGTTGACTCGCATACGACTCATGAAAAACTTTTTCAACGGAACGATTCCACCCGGGTTCTTCAACCTACCTTTAGTGGACATGCTAGAGTTCAGTGATAACTACTTCACTGGCAAACTTCCGGATGAAATATCTGGCGGCATACTCGGATTATTGACTCTCTCCAACAACAGGATTACGGGGAATGTTCCAGCGGCTATTGCAAACCTGACGAATTTACAGACTCTCTCCCTTGAACTAAACCAATTTTCCGGCGAAATTCCACCGCAGATATTTGATCTAAAGAAGCTTTCGAAAATGAATATCAGCAATAACAACATTACAGGAAAGATACCGACCACTATTGCTCACTGCAAATCTCTTACATTGGTGGATTTCAGTTCGAATAATCTCTTTGGAGAAATCCCCAGAGCGATTGCGAAGCTCGAGATCCTTAGCACATTGAACCTATCAAGAAACCAACTTGAAGGCCAAATTCCAATTGAAATACGTTCCATGACGAGCCTGACAATACTTGATCTATCATATAACAACTTGTCGGGTCCGGTTCCAGAGGGTGGGCAATTCCTTGTCTTCAACGACAGTTCTTTCACCGGAAATCCCAATCTCTGTAGCCCGTTACACCATTTATCTTGCTTATTACCCCAGAACCAAGATGAACTTTCGGGCCAAAAGTCTTCATCGTCAAAAGTCGCCATCATCGTTGTCTCAATCATTGGGGTCCTGTCATTCTTCGCCGCAGCTCTGAAGTTCAACAGATACCGGATTAAATGCCGGGAATCGAAAGCTTGGAAGCTCACCCCATTCCAGAAACTCGATTTCAAAGTCGAAGACGTGGTCGAATGCTTGAAAGAAGAGAATATCATCGGCAAAGGTGGTGCTGGGATTGTTTATCGTGGGTCCATGCCTAACGGCATGAACGTGGCGATAAAGCGACTGGTCGGAAGCAGCAGTGGTAGGAATGACCACGGTTTCTCTGCGGAGATTCAGACTCTTGGAAGGATTCGACACCGAAACATTGTGAAGTTGCTTGGATTTGTGTCGAACAACGATACAAATTTGTTGATATACGAGTTCATGCCCAATGGGTGCTTGGGAGGGCTTTTGCATGGATCGAAGGGGTCGCATTTACAGTGGGAGTCAAGGTATCGAATAGCAGTGGAGGCCGCAAAGGGGTTGTGCTACCTTCACCATGGCTGCTCTCCTCTTATAATCCACAGGGACGTCAAGTCAAACAATATCTTACTTGATTCCGACTTCGCGGCTCATGTGGCAGACTTCGGGCTCGCGAAGTTCTTACACAGCGCCGGAGCGTCGGAATGTATGTCGTCCGTTGCTGGATCGTACGGTTATATCGCCCCAGGTTCGTGAATCGTGGTCAACTTTGAACCATCTGATCCTCGCTCTCCTGTTAGAAACAACGTGATTTTAATTGAATAGTAGAATAAATAGAATGACGGAATTGCGCTTGTGCTGTGGAACAGAGTACGCATACACGCTCCGAGTGGACGAGAAGAGTGATGTGTACAGCTTCGGCGTTGTGTTGCTAGAGCTGATCACGGGACGAAAGCCTGTGGGCGAGTTTGGAGATGGGGTTGACATCGTGAGGTGGGTCCTGAAGACAATATCGGAATTATCGGAGATCTCAAAGCCGTCGGATGCTGCTGCTGTTTTGGCTGTGGTGGACCCCAGGTTAAGTGGGTATTCATTGGTCGGGATGATCAACCTTTTCAATGTGGCTATGCGATGCGTTGCAGAGATGAGCGCTGAGAGACCAACCATGATGGAAGTCGTTCACATGCTCGCCGGCCCTCCCCATCCCCAGTCTCCCCCGAATCTGCTGGCCATGTAGTAGAAATTTTACTTACGTGGAGTAGTATTTTCTATTTACCTTTTTACCCCTTTTCCGGTTTGTTTTCCCTCGATTGTGATTGAGGATATGGTAGGTATAAAACTTATGGAAAAGGGCATTGCTGGGGATAATGTTTTTCTGTTCAAATCTTTAAATGTCTTCGGTTGGTCTGTTTGTTTGGTTGCGTTTGTCGAAGGTTGTGAATCTTGTGATAGTTAAAATACTAATAAATGTCACTGGCGCAACCTTTTTTTTTTCTTCTTTCTTGCTATCGTTGGTTTTTACTTTTAGCCCGATCTGATACTGCTCATTTTTTACGTTTGGTTACGAAAGCAGAAATTTAATCGAATTCTATGACGTTTAGAAAGACTAATAAACTAGTCTCTTGCGCTTTGTTGCAACTGAATAAACTCTACTGCTCGTCGCACAATCCTCTCTCAGTGGTCGATTCTTTTCAAGCCTCCAGGCTCTTGAAGGGTTATTTCGAGCTCGGTAGGGCGGAGTATGCAAATAAGCTATTCGCAGAAATTCCTGACAAAAATATTGTCTTGTGGTCGATTATGATTCACGGATACGCAATAAGCGGATTGTACAGGGAATCGATGGAGATGTTTTCGCATGTGCGGCTTCATGGTTTGACCCCGAACTCCTTCACCATGGTAGCTATTCTAGTTACCTTGAAGGGCTTATTAGACCCGATGCTTGGACATTCTATCCATGGATTGATTATCAAAACTGGGTTAGCGTCCAATTTGACAGTCGGGACTGCCATGTTAGATGCGTTTGCGAAATGTGGGAATATTGTTGACTCATATAAATTATTTGAGCAAATAAGGGAGCCAAGCTTGGTAACCTATACTGCGATGATTTCTGGATTTATCCACAACGAATTATTTGAAGAAGCATTTATGCTATTTAACCAACTCCGGCCATCTAATGTGTTGCCAAATTCAGTTACCATGTTGAGTGTTATCCGGGGCTGCATTGCCTTGGAGTCACGGGGATTGAGCGAGTCTGTTCATGCTTTCGTCCTAAAGACAGGGTTTTGTTCTTATCTGGCTGTCATCAATGCAATTCTGGACATGTATTCGAATTTGGAGGACTTGCAGGCAGCAACTAAGGTCTTCAACAACATGACATCCATGGATGTCATCAGTTGGACTACGATGGTTGGTCTGTTGGTCCACCTCGACCTAGCTTCTGAGGCTCTTAAGCTGTTCTGCAGAATGAGGGATAGCGGTTTCAGTCCTGATACAGTAGTTCTGGTTAATCTCACTAGAGCATGTGCGTTATTGGGAGATCTGAATACTGGGAAAGCGATTCATGCTCTTGCTGTAATTCACGGGTACGGATTGGATCTTCATCTTCTAAACTCTATTCTTGCAATGTATTCCAAGTTTGGGTGCCTTGATTCTTCAAAAGTCGTCTTTGATCGGATGGCAGAGAAGAGTTTGGTCACTTGGACGGCAATGATATCAGGCTACTTACAGAATGGATGGCCTAAAGAAGGTTTAAATTTGCTGATTCAAGTAAGAAGACTAAGTTTTCATATCGATTCCGTAGTACTGGTAAATTCACTAGCAGCTTGTGGTCAACTAGCCTCTTCAGATCTCTGCAAGCAGCTCCATTGCTATATCTTAGTAGTTGGCTTTGCTCGGTACAAATCAGTTCAAAATAGCTTAGTATCAGCATATTCAAAATGTGGGGATATTGAAAGTGCTCAGAGTGTATTCAAGGAGATAATTTCTCCAGATGTTGTCTCGTGGAATGTGATCATATCTGGATATGGGATCAATAGTGAAGGAGAAACTGCTGTGTCTCTATTCAGAGAAATGGAAAGAAGCGGGATACACCCAGACAATGTTACTTATCTGAATGTGTTAAGTGCGTGTGGTCATTCAGGGCTGATTGGTGATGGGTTAGTGATTTTCAATCAGATGGTGGAAGAGAAGAGGATTGCTCCCAGTGGGGAACATTGTGGGTGCGTTGTTGACTTGCTTGCACGAGCAGGGCGCTTATCTGATGCAAGTATATTTATGAACACAATATCGGGAAAAGTTGGCCCGAATGCTTGGAGAGCTTTGCTTGGTGGGTGTTGGATGCATAGTGATGTAAGGTTGGCAGAACTTGCTGCAAGTAGGTTGCTTGAGTTGGAACCAGAAGATACAGATTGTCTCGTGGTTCTTTCGAATGTTTATGCGTCTGTTGGAAGGTACAAGGAAGCAGAAGCTCTGAGATCAAGTATGATAATGAAGAGGTCACAAAAGAGCCCTGGGATGAGCTTGCTCAGTGGGCTGCTTGACGATTTTGGTTAATATCGATCTGTTTCTTCTTTGCTGTCTTCTATCCTTCGGATTGTTGGATGGGTTAGGTGGGAGTCGTGGACATCATGAGGCATCACATGCTGGGTTGAAAGCTGAAACATTCAAAACTAACACACACTTCAGAATGCCTGATCAAGCTTGGCATCAGACTCCGAAAATCAGAAACCCATGGACTCTATCTGTGCCACCAAATTACAGGTGCTCTGATCATTTTGTAGATCTCGTATATCTTTTTTTTTTTTATCTTTTTGCCATATCTCGTATCAAAGGCCAGTGTTTGTTCTGGATTTTGTGTAGATTGAACAATAACATGCGTTGAAAAGAAGAGAGAAAGAAGAATTGCTACAGTGCCATCATTAATGGTGGTTTCAATCCACCAGCTAACTTTATCTATACGTATCTATACTATGAAGAAATGCATTTCGGTGCAATCATAAAAAGTTAAATTTGATAAGATATTGCAACTTATATCTTTACGTTTGCTTGCACATGTCCACACACTAGTTACTTTTATATGAATTATAAGCTATACTTGGTACAAGAGGTGACCATGGGCCAAATCGGGCATTGCACTTACAATAAGGGCTATAGCCTATACTTAGGCCCGGGTCAGGCTAAAATAATCTAGTCCAGATATACGCCTCACACGCTTCACACCAACCTCACAGCACTTTCAATTATGCATGGGAAATGTCTTCCATACATGTATCAGTGTATGTTGTCGTTCCCAATTCACGGCTGCAATGTGATGTGAAGTTGGTGTGAGACGCACTTTGTGGCGAGTAAATCCGAACTTGAAATACCATCCTACATGGTACATTTGCAACCATGCATTGGGAACATCTTCCCCTGAATGATAGCATACAACTATATGGAGAGGCTCGCAATATGTGGGTCTAAGCATTGTGAGGTTAATGTAAGGCACACTCATTGAGGAGTAAATCTGGATTCATTTTAGTCTTAATCTATTCACAGTCTTCAACTTCCATTTCTTCTTCTTCCAAAAGCAACAGTCATAAAACTGGGAGTTCACTGTTCACATCTGTGCCCTACAACATCCCACATCATATCCCCACCGTGTATTGGGAACATTTGATGATAGTACTAGAAATGGTGATGTCATCATTAGGAGGTGTTCCCAATACACGGCAGGGATGTGCTGTGGGACATTGTGGGCACCCCCTTGTGGGGTGCAGATGTGAACTCTAAAACTTCCTCTTGAACCATATACCTCCATCAATAGGAACCCAATTCTTCTCACCTTAACACCTCTCTCTCTCTCTCTCTCTGAAGTTGTGCCAAAGACGGATGAAACAATTAGGGTGCAAATGGATCAGATCATGGTCCAATCCTATCTGAGATCCTATCATATTTGGTCGAATTCGGATCACCCTATTTCCGATGTTTGTATTGGATTTGGGTCACTCCCTATCCAATCCAATATGCATGTTATATATTTATTTATATAATTATATATTACATATATATATGTTATTTGTTTATTTATATATATATATAATTTATATTGCACTTTTTGTAAATTTGTTATATTATTTAGCTCTTTATAAAAAACATGAATATATGTGTGATGAAAATAAATAAAAAATACTTATATTTTTTATTTTTTTGTTTAAATTGGTATATTTTATTTTTCTTTTAGTAAATTATTAAATTTTAGAGAAATAAATCGAATTGGATCATATCCGACTTCCCAATCGGGTTCAAACTCATATCCAATCGGATCGGATTCGAATATACCTTGATTCGAATCCGACCTGACCCCATTTGCATCCCTATAAACAACTAACTTGTACTTAATGGAACAAATAGTCTGTACTTGGGTATGTAGAGAAATCGAGACAAATATTGAAAATCTATGTTTTCTTTTTTATATTTAGGTATTAAATTACTTATTTGCTAGTGGACAAAATTATAGTTGCAATTAGGGATGTTGATGGATTGGATTTGGGTTCAACCCCTAAATCAAAATCAATTTGGACATATTTAACAAGCCAATAAAACATATTAAATTGGACCAATTCATACTTAATTGTTCAAAGTATTTATTGGATTAGATCAGACTGGTCATCTATACTGGATTTATATTGGATTAGGTTGGATTGGACCAATATCTGGTCCATTAATAGAAGATAAGAATACAGGTGTCAATGGACTGATTTGGAATTGGACCACCAAATTAAATTAAAAGGGTAAAAGACTTAAACTTCTCCTGATATTTCACTTAAACAATGAAACATCCCCCAATTTTTCAAAATTGGCTTAGACTTCCCCTGTATGTTGACGTGAGTGGACAAAAACCTCCAATCCATTAACTTCCCATTCATATTTGTTATACATGAAATAATGTGCAATTTAAGTTTTTGAAAATTTTAAATGTGCCTTTATAGGATGAAATGACATTTATATCCATCGTTATTTTTTAAATTTTATAGGAGGACAATGTACTGAGTTACTAACTAAACATGAGCTTGCTCGTTGTTGCTCCTGATACAAATTGACCAACCAATCCTTTATCACCTATTGCATCCCACCTTACAAACCAAAGGAGGTTGATACAAATGACTATCAAAATGGATCATTTATAGCATTTTGGATCAACAATGGGGTAGCGTAATCCAAAAAATCATTCCAAAACTCGCATTCTAATCCTTTTATTAGAGCTCCCCAATATTTCAGTAGCAATACTTGGTTGTTCAATAAACCCATCTCAGTGAGGGGTCTCAATTCAATTTGAAACCCCAATCGTGATCCAGTAGTCTCATATGGTATTTGTGCTGTTTTTTTCTTTTTTTGGTTTTTATCTTGTGAGTACTGTCTAATTTTATTTTTTAGCAAAAACCTCAGAATATTTATCACAGTCAATATGTGCAAGTAATTTAAAAACAAAGGAAGACAACCCGAAACAATGTCAATTCACTTCATAACTCGTACGAGTTTTCCAGAAATAATTTGCAAAGATTTACTTCTCCCTAGTTTTAAAAGTCCAATGGGCTTTCATTGAATGACTTGAGAACTTCATCCATTAACCAAATGGATAGGCATTGAAAACTAAAAACTTAAGAATCAAGACTTATTGTGTTATCTATGATTAAATAGAATGTACAACATTATTTATTTTCAGATGAGATGCAGTTCAAGATGACAATGTCTTTTGGGAAACAAATAGACTTGAATAAAGCCCTAAATAGCTTGCTCAAAGGGAGAGTTTCACAAGTCATCATAAATTCACATCCCATTTCTTCCTCGACTTTACATTTTTAGTGGTTTTATTTGAATGTTTAAAGAAGGGTAAAAATGTTTTTTGATGTATTTTGTCAAATAAAACGGCATGTTGTTCTGACAGGGGAGGTTTAAGTCTTTTATCCAAGTTTAAAACTAATCTGAACAGATTGAGGGATTTATACATTGAATTGGATTGGTCCAAAATGATCTAGAGTATTCATTAGATTGGATTTGATTTTGATCTGAACCATTTATAAATTATAATGGACTCATTGGATCAGATCTGATTAGATCAAATCCCAAAACTTCAACGGTCGCAGCAGCTCCTCGTTGATCTTATCAAACTTCTTTTTTGTTTTAAACCACACCCTCGCCAGTGGAATGGTTTGATTAAAGCATTAGGTTGCGGTGCATAGTTTCCAACCTCATACTAGCACTACAAAAACAATTTATTTATTTTGCATTTGAAGCAATACGCCAGAAAAACCCATCAATTTTTAAAAGCTCTGAGTGCTGGGCTATGGGGTTCGAACCCATGCGTACTTATTGTACAGAAGATCTTAAGTCTTCCCCCTTAACCACTCGGGCAAACCAGCTTATTTAGAGGTAAAAATTTGATTTAAATGATCTACGCACCGCGTTGCATCCGTTTCATGTTGCTTGAATGATATTACAATGCTATTGGATCGGTAAAGTACGTTGTAAGTTGTAACTTTGTATTTATAATCCGGAGTTGTTCAGCGAAATGCGGTGGGAAACGTTTGAAATAGGAAGAAAGAATTCCCGCCAAACAAATCTTGGAAGAGAAGAAAATAACCAGAGACGGTCGGAGGGAAGGGGGTAGATGGGCATGGAGTTCAAAAGCCCTCCGTTGTGTCCTGCAATGGTCACGGTGAGGAGAAACCCTCCGCGCAAGGCGAGGGCGACTCCTTCGACCACTGCTCCGGATTCCACTAAACAGAACCCGTCTGCGTCAAAGCTTAAGGACATACCTCGATGCCCTCTAGAGGAGCTCCTTCACGATGACACTCCTCAAATCCCTTCGGTGGCAATGCCATCTTCTATACCTTCTCCACCGGAAAATGGGAATTCCGAGAACCTTAGGGTCTTCTTGAGGATTAAGCCACTGATAGATACTAATGTTTCCTCAAAGAAGAACAAGGCCACTGAAACAAGATCGAAGCTCAAAGCTGCTAAGAACAATGATACGAACAAGAAGGAAGGGATCTGCTTGGTTGCGAATGACTCGCATTCCGTGACACTTTCTCCGCCGTTGTCCCTGCAGGATTCGAAGCGACTGAAAACTGAGGTCTACCATGGCTTCAGCCATGTGTTTTCTCCCGATTCTTCTCAGGTGTTCGTTTTATTATTTTGATTTTTACATTTTTAGGGTTTCCTGTGTCCCTTTCCATTTTCTTGTCAAATTTGGAATGCCAATGTGGCAATGTTCCTTATTGTCATTTTCCCCAAACACTTGCAGAAGGAAATCTATGAGAAGGTGATGGATCCTCTGGTATCAGATTTCATCTCAGGGAAAAGCGGGATGTTAACAGCTATGGGGCCTACGGGTTCCGGAAAGACGCATACAATTTTTGGTTGTCCGAGGGAACCTGGAATTGTTCCTCTCACTCTTCGGCGTATTTTCAGTGAGACTGACGGAAGTGATTCTAAGATGTCTAGGTAATTGCTTGCTTTTGGCGGCACTGTTCATTACGCTTTGTCTCAGGCCAACATAATAAGCAGGGTATTTCCTTTACTGATCTTCTGCTAGCAAGTTTAATTATTTTTTGAACAGGTCATATTATATATCGATGCTTGAAATATACTCCGACCGAGGAAAGGGTGAGAGGATCATTGATTTATCCACCGATGGAGCTGATTTGTGCTCGCAACAATTAACTAATAAAGGTCCTCAGGAGGTAGGTGTAGCGGTTTACGTGATACGTTCAATTGGATGCTTATTGCACCGAAGGTTTGTACATAATCTTGTTCGCAGGTCATGGTTTCGGATGTTGTACAAGCAGAATGTGTAGTGGCACGTGGAATGCTAAAACGAACTACTGCAATGACAAATGCAAACAGCCAATCTAGGTAACAATATTGAGAATTCTATTTTTTTTTTGTTGAAGTACATGAACAGCCTGCCTATGCGTGCAATGGTTTGGGTTCACAATTCGAGACCAAAGCTTAAAACCCAAAAGTGTTGAAGATGATATATACTCAAAAGTTCACTTCTTTTTTTTCATAAAAAACTAGTTGCTGGAAACAATAAAAGAGTAAGATAAAGGGACCCCCCCGTCAAGTTTGTGCGTCAATTACATGTCCATAAATCTGCCATGTCAATGCTGTTGTTGGAGGATGATGTTTTTTTAGCGTGAAATTCATTTTTTTTTCTGGTTTCACTAGGGTGATTAAGAGTTTCCACTTGTTGAGTTTGAGTGAATGAGAATGATAGAAGAATTACTGAAGATGCTGAATTTAAAGCTAGAACAATAGAGGGATGCTTTTGAATTGAAGTGTTTTAAGAAAAGCCAGACTAAGATAGAATATATGCATTCCACTTTTAGTAACAAATTGCTGTAATGATGAGTAATACAATTAAGATTGATGATTAGGAGATGCCCTAAAATAACCACTTTTGGTACCTTGGATCAATTATCCAATAATGAGGGAGAAATTAAAAAAATATGATGCCCATGGTGTTAGAGCTGGGCGGTTTATGTAGAGATATTCATCTAGTGTGTTGTATAACTAGTGTATAATGATGCAGATAGGAGGAGATTTTTTTTTCGATAAACAGTGTAGGTATTAATTTGTAAAAAGAGGGTGAGATTCTGTCAAACTGTGCAGAAAAGATAAATGGGAAATCAGCAAACATGTTCAAAAAATAAGTGAATACGACTGGGTTGAAGATGGTGGGGCAAATGAATGGCAATACTAAAAGGATAGAGTTAGAAATAAATGCATTTGGGAGGACTTAAGAGTAGCCTTAAATCCCTAATTGAGTAATTGGTGATAAGAAGAGTGGAAGTTGGTTCATTAATCATGTGCATAGACAACAATTGCTACACTAGTGAGGAGTGAGTTGCTGCTAGCAGAGAAGTCTAAAAGAGCAAGGGGTACTGGGGTAGACTGAATTAAATGTAGGCTAATTCACATAGCTGGCTTCAAATAATTTGAGATTAAGCTTATGTTTAGTTCATTTGAAAATGAAGCGGCTCCCTATGAGTTGGCGTGGAAGAAAGGAAATTATTGATAAAGGTATCTGTTTAAAGATTTTGGGTCTACTAATGTAGGATAGGACTAACAATGGCTAACTATGGATCTCATGTATATGCCAAATATCTAAAGTAGATTTGTTGAATAAGAAAGGAAAAGAATGATAGAACAACTAGAGGTGTAAAACAGGCCGTGCCGCCCTCCCTTGGGATAACTTGGGGGGTCGGCCCGGCATGGCCCACGGCCCAAGCTCGTGCAGGCTCGTGCTGTGCCGTGGTCGGGCTGGCCCGTGGGCCGAGCCTTGGGCTAGGTTGGGCCGTGCACTGGGCCAAAGTTATTTATTTAAAAAAAATTGACAAAAAACATAATTTTTTAATTTTATATGAATTTTGATGTATATAATTGCTTATATATACAATAATTAAATAAATTAGTATAATAAAATTTTAAAAAATTTTTATTTCATTAATATATTATATAAATAAATAATATATATTGGCCGTGCCTAAAACCCCAGGCCCAGCACGGCTGCAGACTGTCATGCCGTGCCGTGCTGGTCCAAATTCATGCCAAGCCGTGGGTGGCACTGCCTGATTTACACCTCTAAGAATAACCTTAGAGTCAGCCACCGAGCTTCTCTAGGAGTTGATGCCTATAGGGTCTATTAGGTGTTAATACACAATTGCTTGAAGAAGTTTGTACCAAACACCTCAGTAGAGACAATTCATTCGTCATGCTTTAGTTGGTTGAAATATGCTATTATATAAGTATTTTATAAAGATATAAACTGGATTGCATAAGATCTACAAAATATTTGGTTTTCCTAAACATAGAATTGACAATACATGCAACTAATATCTATTTAAGATATATTCTGGATTCACTCATTATCTCAAGCAAAGATTCGATCGAGATAATCAAATCACATCCGTGGGTCCACTATGGTCTCGTTTGGTTCGCGGGAATAGGGGTGTGGAATCGGAATCAGAATGGGCCATTCCGATTCCAACTGTTTGGTTGGGCGGAATTGGAATCCCATTCCCATTCCTGGTGGAATGGCATCCCCCATTTGAGGGGATGGCCATTCCCTCCCCCTCCCTTGGGAATGAAATCCATTCCAGCTGATTTCAATTCCCTTCTGGTTCCTGTCTGAACCAAACAGACTATTGGAATAGACCATTTTGATTCCGATTCCGATTGATTTCAATTCTGATTTCGATTCCAATTCCAATTGTGAACCAAACGGATCCTATAACTCTTCCAAATAGAAGGTAATGACTCAAGGAAACTGGAGAAATAAGTGAAAAAGTTTCATGTGATCAAACTATCCATAGATGATGTAGTCATTACATTTGAGGGTTGGAGAATTTGGAAGTAGGAATGGACTTAATTGCTTGTCAAGGTTTGGATGATTCATTCCATGGTTCTCAAAATCTTGGTTCGTCTTAGTTTTTTTGTCTTCAGGCTTTGTTGCCTGTTCCAAAGCGGCAACTGGTACTGCACCTTTTTTTTCCTATCCTTTCTTTTAATAAAATGTTTTTCTTAAAAAAAACTTCTGTATGCATATGCAGAATCTCTACAGACCAACAAATCCTGACATATAAAATGAAGCAACTTAGAAGTTCCATGCACACACAATGTATTCATTGCATCAAATTACATTTGGTGATAAATATTGTATTTTGATAGTCCAAAAAAGTGCAATGTGATGTATGCAGGGGAGCTGTTTAAAAAGACATATACTTCTTTATTCATGAAAGCTGGGTAAACATTTCAGTTGTGACAAGTGTCCATATGAACTTAAAAAATTATTTTCTCAACATTTAATGGGAGAAATTTAGAACCATATTTTGGGATTAGAAATGTGTTATCATTTATGGGTTCTTTTTCATACATTTGTAGCCGATCACAATGCATTATTCACATCCGTAGTTCGCCTAAAATGATTAGTGGCAAGCCTGAGGTTCAACCATCCTGTGCTGTTTTGACAATTGTGGACCTTGCTGGAGCTGAAAGGGAAAAGAGAACTGGAAATCAGGTTCTTAACCTTCAAATTATTTTGAAAATTTTGCGTTTTCAGTTTGTTTCAGTGGCTATTTCATTTAAGTTCTATTGGTTTTTTGAGGGAACATTGTTTTGATGCTGTACAATATTTGTTATGTCAAATGCAGGGCAAACAATTATTGGAAAGCAACTTCATCAACAACACGTCTATGGTCTTTAGTCTATGTCTCAGGGTATGTTGGTTTACATTGCTTGTTTGGATTTTGCTTGTCCTTCATTAAGTGAAACAATGCTTTTTTTTCCCTCTTTCAGTTGTCTTTGGTTGTTTACATTCTGTTGTTGTCTCTTCATTAATTCTTCAGTTTCCTGTCCCCAGTCTTTGTTGGAGCATCAAAAGAACCCCAAGAAGCCATTGCAGAAGCACTTCCAAAATTCTTTGGTGATGCTTTCACTTTATTTAATTCTCATCTTGTTGATCCTTAATGTGTATTGTTCCTTTCATGCATGACCTTTTCTGTCTCCCTGTGATTGTTTTAAGGCATGCTATTGTGATGATTTGATCTTGTACTTTATTTTGTATTGTTAACAGAGACATAAACAATAATTTTTCTTGAACAGTTGACCAGGTATTTAAGAGATTATTTGGAAGGCAAGAGACGAATAACTTTGGTATGTTGTATTCCATTTCAATAGCATGTTTCAATTGATTCTTTTATGTTCACCTTCTCTTTCCATATTGCAAAAAATGCTTGGCTACTACTACTATAACAAATACTATTACTACAATTAATTTCAGTGAGCAATTTATTTATGTATTCTATTTGTCTCTACTTGTCATGTGACGTAAAACTACATAATGCAAAACATAAATAAACTCCTAAGCTGGTGGGTAACTGCACCTTGAGGCTTTTTTTTTTTTGAAACAGGTAATGTGAAATACTCATTAGAGACAAAAAGCATGTACAACAAGGAGCTGTACACATGGATTTACGAAAAACTGCAACCAGCAGAACTATATCCCCAAACCCTGATTTACAAAATTATTCCCTACCAAAAAAGGAACTAAAAGTTCTGTCATTAAATACATTGTTTACTGCTAACCAAGAAAACATTTTTCCCATAACTTTCTGGAACACTGTGTCTGAAGAGCTGTGTTGGTTCTTGAAGATCCTTGCATTCCTCTCCTGCCAGATGCACCGGAAAATTGCAGCAGGAGTCAGGTTTCAAGACAACTTTCCATCTTTAGGGCGGCCTTTGACTCTCCAACCCTTCACAAAATCTGGCTACTGATTCAGGGCAACAACTTTTCACCTCAAACAAGTTCTTGACCTTATTCCAAACCTCACTGGAGAAACCACAGTGAAGTAGCAGATGGTTGACTGACTCGGTATGACTCTGACAAAGCACACAACTGTTCACCTTGAGGCTTTCTATACATAATAAATCCACTTGATGTGTTTTAACCCTTTTCCTTACAATTTAGCTTTCATTCATATGGTGGCAAATATTGCCCATTTTGCTTTATTAGCTTATCAGTAATGCTACACAAGATTATGCTGTAACCATGCAGATTTTGGTAAATAACATACTGAGAATTTCTTTGCTCTTTTATTGTCATGGAAAGAGAGGGTAATTTGTCTTTCCAGTAAATTGATAAGAACCGTTGAGATTCTCTAGGATATTGTCTTGCAGATTTTAACTGTAAAACCAGGAGAACATGACTATCTTGATACATCCTACTTGCTTAGGCAGTCTTCGCCTTATATGAAAATCAAGTACGCATCCTTTATTTGTCCTTTGTTTTCTTCTTATGATCAGGTTAAATACTTTGTGGTTTCATTATTAAGTTTTTTCCCCCTCTCTCTTTGGTGTACTTTCACTGTCAGGTTCAATAACATTGAAGAACCATCCAATTTGCCCTATCAGAAGAGACACAATCACATGTTGCCTAGAACAGAGCAGCCCAAGAGAAGGAAGTTCAGCAATGTAGATGCTGTGGTAGTATTTTATTGTCCATTCTGTAATATTCTTTTTTCAGAGCTTTTCATATTAGCAATGGTCCTGGTTCTAGTTCAAAATTAAACAGGTGGCATCATTGGTGTTGGAGTTTTGTTTTCAGTGGTACTGGGTGTAGGATTTTATTTTGTGGAAGTGCAATGTTTGTATGAAGTACCTATTGTTGTATATTTTATGGTTATTAATCCTTGCAGGATTAAAGGTTATGCCACTTGAATGTCATTAAAGGCCTAAAACTAGACCGTTGTGTGGAAAGATCCTATATTTGTCAAATGCACGTGAAATCTTATTTCCTATAATTGATATAGCTTGAAAAATAGTTGGGGCAAATTCTGAGCACCTGAAGGCTGAAGTTACAGGGTCAATACTGGTTCAGGCTAATAAATTTAGTAAATGTAAAAATTATACATATAGAAGATCCTGCTATTCTGTCCTTGTGAAGATAGAAACTTCTGCTGGAATTTCTGTTTACTTCAACTAGTTCCCTGGCTTTGATATTTTAGCTTGTGCAATTGAATTGAGAAATGGCCACTGTAAGAGTCTATCTCTTAGACATAGAAACATTTTTCATTGTTAGCGAAGAAGCACATTTTTCATGCCATTTAAATTAGGTTTTGAGTTATATACTAACTTTTATATTGTGTTCTTCTATGATAGAACAATTGCTATTATGAATTCTGTATGTAGAACATGGATGGCATAAAAATCAGTTAAGGTGCAATGGTCTAATTATGTTGGTATGTCTCAAAGAACCATTCAACCTAAAAGCTTAAGCTATTAGGTGAGATTTATATAGACATATAATTAGCTTGATGAAGTGAGAGGTAAATATAATTCATAGTGAAAATTGCTCAATTGCTAAGCCAAATATTAGTCATAAATTGTCTTACATAGTGGGATATTCAAAACTTATTAACTATTATTATCACCTAAGCTGCATGTGAATTTTCTCAAAAGACTCAAAACTATAGATGTGTTTCCTTATTTGATTGGTAGGAATTGGTTGTGGCAATTGCTCAGTTGCAAAGTATGCCAATGTGCCGCCTATGCCACTTGGGTTTCACACAAACACAATGATGGATGAAACATTTCTTCAGTAGATGCATGAATTCCACCATTGTGTCTCTTGGCATTCCATTAATGTATCAGTTATGCTTTCCATTTTGTTTTTTTCATCCCTCAATTTAAATAAGTATGCTGTCATTTTCCTTTTAAGGGTTAAATGTTTTTGGGGAGTATGTGGTAAATGCATGATGGAGTTAAAGCATAGTTGTCCAGAATGGTTTTGTGAATCTTTTCCCTAAACCATCTTGTGTCTTTCTCTGGTTGTCATATTGATCAATATTAAAAGAGCTATTTGTTGCCTTTTGAACCCTCAATGCATTAAAGCTTATATAAGTGGAAACTGCAATATTATTCAAGTATGCCTATGCATTATACTGAAAATATATTCTCTCAGATACATGAAGGAGACGGAGCAATAGATAAACCGGTTCTTGAGCCGAGTGACTGTGGACCTCTTAGTGATAAAGCCTACTTGCTGAAAATGTTGGGCGAATATAAGAAAAAGCTCCAGGTAATAATATTATGCTGGAGGTTGTCAACAGAAATACTACATGATGTTTGTTGTAGATAATTATTAAAATTCCTGGATATATTGTGGCTACATAAATTTATTAGTAATAACAAATAGTTAAGACTAAACCAATTTGCAAGTTTTGATCTCAAACAGGAATCAGAAAATGAAGTCTTCAACTTACAGGAAAGCCTTCAAAAGGAAAAAATTCGATCTTTGGAACTGGAAAGGGAATTGCAGGATTTGAAATCTAGTTGTTCATGTGGTCAGATAAGAGTTTGTGATGCTGTGATTGATCAATCAAGCTTTTCGCTGTTAGATTGTCAAGTACAGGACCATATCAGAGCTCAGTTTGCAATTGCCTTGTTTTTATCTATTAATTGCTTTTAATAATGTTCATAAATGATCTAAAATTTCAATATGGATGTGACAGTCTGTAAATCAGAGAAGTCAAATATCTCCCAGAGATGAGAAAAATAATGATCATTCTGAAGAGTTGAAGCATTTGCTGGTCACAGACAACTCTTCTGATGCAGATGTAACAGGTTTAATCTTGAACATCACTTTTTATCAAAGCTTTATTTGAGAAAATGGATTACATTGTGGAGGGTAATTATGCAAGTATAACCTAGCACTTTCCACACTTTCTCTTGGTAACAGCTAGTTTGGAGCATTCAGAATCAATGGTCTGCTTTTCTCAGTCGACAATCCTGGTTGATAGTGACCATTTGACAACAGAGCGGAACAAATTTCTTAATGAAGAGAAAAAGGTTGTATTCTCATTTACAGTTTCAAGTGTTAGCAAACTATCATTATCTTGTGAGTTTGTGTCAATATCTGCATCAGAGCTATTCTGTTGATTTTACATCCAAAGGGATTCTTTTGAGACTCCCTGTTTTTTTTTTTTTTTTAAATGTATATTGTGGAACTTTAAATGGTATTTGATTTTTTAAAACCTTAATAGCATCTCTTGTTTCAATTTTTAGGTTCTCGTTTTTGGCTTACCTAAATCTGTACCTGTCATACATGTGTTTTGAATCTCTGATGTCTGATCGTGTCTAGATTTTTTCTTCTTTTATTAGGTTGGTGCACATCCTTCTCCAAACCCGAAGATATCAGAGTTAGGGGTGAGCAAACGGTTTATTTGATGCTTGAATCTTAATAATCTCACTCATGGTTTCTTTTATAATTCCCAATTTTCCTTTGGGAAGATTGGTTTTCTTTTGCAATTGCCTTGTTCATTATCTGTTAGTTGTTTTTAATAATGTTCATAAATGATCTAAAATTTCAATATGTATGCGGAAGTCTGTAAATCAGAGAAGTCAAATATCTCCCAGAGATGAGAAACATGATGATCATTCTGAAGAGTTGAAGCATTTGCAGGTCACAGACAACTCTTCTGGTGCAGATGTAACAGGTTTAATCTTGAACATCTCTTTTTATCAAAGCTTTATTTGAGAAAATGGGTTACACTGTGTAGGATAATTATGCAAGTATAACCTAGCACTTTCCACATTTTCTCTTGGCAGCAGCTAGTTTGGAGCATTCAGAATCAATGGTCTGCTTTTCTCAGTCGACAATCCTGGTTGATAGTGACCATTTGACAACAGAGCAGAACAAATTGCTTAATGAAGACAAAAAGGTTGTATTCTCATTTACAGTTTCAAGTGTTAGCAAACTATCATTATCTTGTGAGTTTGTGTCGATATCTGCATCAGAGCTATTCTGTTGATTTTATACCCAAAGGGATTCTTTTGAATAGACCAACCGTTTTTTTTTTTTAAATGTATATTGTGGAACTTTAAATGGTATTTGATTATTTAAAACCTTAATAGCATTCTCTTGTTTCAATTTTTAGGTTCTCGTTTTTGGCTTACCTAAATCTGTACCTATCATACATGTGTTTTTAATCTCTGATGTGTGATCGTTTCTAGATTTTTTCTTCTTTTATTAGGTTGGTGCACATCCTTTTACAAACCTGAAGATATCAGAGTTAGGGGTGAGCAAACGGTTTATTTGATGCTTGAATCTTAATAATCTCACTCATGGTTTCTTTTATAATTCCCAATTTTCCTTTGGGAGCATTGGTTTCTTTTGCAATTGCCTTGTTCATTATCTGTTAGTTGTTTTTAATAATGTTCATAAATGAACTAAAATTTCAATATGGATGCAACACTGTAAATCAGAGAAGTCAAATATCTCCCAGAGATGAGAAAAATAATGGTCATTTTGAAGAGTTGAAGTATTTGCAGGTCACAGACAACTTTTCTGATGCAGATATAACAGGTTTAATCTTGAACATCTCTTTTTATCAAAGCTTTATTTGAGAAAATGGATTACATTGTGGAAGATAATTATGCAAGTATAACCTAGCACTTTCCACACTTTCTCTTGGCAGCAGCTAGTTTGGAGCATTCAGAATCAATGGTCTGCTTTTCTCAGTCGACAATCCTGGTTGATAGTGACCATTTGACAACAGAGCAGAACAAATTGCTTAATGAAGACAAAAAGGTTGTATTCTCATTTACAGTTTCAAGTGTTAGCAAACTATCATTATCTTGTGAGTTTGTGTCAATATCTTCATCAGGGCTTTTACATCCAAAGGGATTTTTTTGAATAGACTCTCTGTTTTTTTTTTTTTTTTAAATGTATATTGTGGAACTTTAAATGGTATTTGATTTTTTAAAACCTTAATAGCATTCTCTTGTTTCAATTTTTAGGTTCTCGTTTTTGGCTTACCTAAATCTGTACCTATCATACATGTGTTTTTGATCTCTGATGTGTGATCGTATCTAGATTTTTTCTTCTTTTATTAGGTTGGTGCACATCCTTCTCCAAACCCGAGGATATCAGAGTTAGGTTGAACTTTTTAGGTTCTTTTATTGGGTTGAACTTTTTAGGTTCTTTTATTAGGTTGAACTTGCCCATTGAAGGTTATCAATCAGAGAACCATATACATATGGAATTGACATGTTTGATTATTTTAACTATTTGTTTCTGAAGATCTTTTTAATTAACGGTGAACATTGGTGTGATGCACATTTCATGGAGGAAGATGGAGTTTGCACCAACATGAAGATGAGGAGAGTTATGAAGATAGAGGCAAAGAGATTTGGTTTGGAAGAAGTCTGGACCAGAGGAGTAGTAGTTCTGAAGATGGTGGAACTACAAAAAGCCTTGTTGACCCTTGAAGGAAAGGCAGTTCTGTGGTTCCAAGGCTTCTTTGAGGGACCTAGATAAACGATACAAACAAGAAAATGGAAATGCTATCTTGTGGAGGAAGACCGAAAATACTCTTCTGAAAGAAAGATGAACAGGAAAGGTAGGTTTTTTGGCATCTATGAGTTTTACGGAGAGGGAATGAAACAGTTTACTTGTTTCCCTGAAGGAAAAGAGGCTTCGGGTTGGGATAAAGTAGCACAAACATTACATGATTTCTTAGTGGCTGTGAGAGAAAAGAAGAATATTCAAAATGCAAATCAAGAGTTTCAGGAACAGTCCAAAAAGATGGTAACTGATGTTGGAAGGCAGGATACAGAGTAGAAGGAAGATGATTCAGTAGATGATGTCCAGATTGATGCAAGACTAGGTTTGATGAAGATGTGGGTGAACAAACCTAAGAAAGACTGGGAGAACAATATGGCGATTTCAGTAAACAAGAAAATTACAGATTGGAAAAGTCTAGGTGAAGATATTAAAGAGGTTCTGAAAGTTTCAGAAGAACTGCAAATTTTCCCTTTTGATGAACAGAAGACGTTGGCAGTTCTACGGGCACTTATTCTTGACTTTGTAACGGTTTTGGTGGTAACAAATCAAGGTCTAGTGCTGGTAGAAAACTGGTCCCCAATCTGTAACGAAAAGACTGTAGAATCCACGAGCTGTATTGAGCTGAAAGTGTTAGGGCTACCTTTTCACCTCTGGTCGGATGAGGTTTTCAACATGGTTGCAAAACTGTGTGGCGGAGAGATGGTTAGCTTTGAGGCTTCAACCTTCGAGCTGTGCAAATTAGGTTGTTTGGAGCAAAGCCCTTTAGGAATCTTCACAGGCGAATGTATTAGCAGATAAAAGAGGAGAAACAAGGAAGAAGAGAAGAGAGAAGGGTGAAGAGAAGAGGAGGTGTTTGGAGAGTTCAAATCTGTTTGGCGGCACCAGCATTACGCCGCTGCTGTACTTACAGTACATAAACAATGATAAAAAATACTGTTTTAACAGAGCAAACAGACCATAAACTAAACAGAATAAATATAATACCAAACTAAGCTATTCCAACAGGAATATAGAGCTTGGATTACTACCTCTGTTGAAGCACAATGGTGGAGAGTTGGGAGGCTAGAGGAAGACGAAGATGACATGGCCAGGAGCTGGGCTTGAGGCAACCATGGGGAGAAGTTGTAGAGAGAGGTAGCAGGATTGAAAATGGGGGAATTGAAGGGTCTGGCAAGCGGAAAGATGTGATCTGGTTTCCTTCTATTGATGGCAATATGAAGACACAAGCAAAGGTTCAAGCAGCTCTATGTAAAACTATAAGATTTGCGCAAGTTTCAAAAATATGGGAATTGAAGGGTCTGTCAAACGGAAAGACGTGATCCGGTTTCCTTCTATTGATGGTAATATGAAGACACAAGCAAAGGTTCAAACGGCTCTCTATAAAACTAAAACATTTGCGCAGGTGGTAACATGCTCAAGTGGTGAGGCCAGGGAAAACTCAAATTTAAACTAGTGTCATGTGGAGGGGACATATGGGAGTAAAGAAGAAAGAGCACTAAATGGGCCTTTGAATGGGTCAACCCAGGCTCGAGTTTGAGATTTTGAGTTAATAATAATAGTGGGCCGGGATATGTTAGTCCTGGCCCTTTGGGCCCAACCCCAAAAGATAGAACATGTGATCACTTGATGAAAAAGGTTGGACGTGAGTTAGGAGACCATAATGTTGGTCTATCATCTTCTAGCACCAATGCTCCCTCATCCGCATTGAAGAAGATAAACCCAAATCTTGTGTACTCCAACACTCCCCCTCAAATAGATAAACCCAACACTCCCCCTATTTTGTGTACTCCAACACTCCCCCTCAAGCTGGAGAGTATATGTCATAGTCCTAGTTTGTTACAAATATAATCTACTCTTCTTCGAGACAATCCCTTTGTAAAGAGATCTGCCCACTGCTTTCCTGAGCTCACATGAGATGTGGTTATCACTCCACTTATCACTTTCTCTCTCACAAAGTGACAATCGACCTCAATATGCTTGGTTCTCTCATGGAAGACTAGGTAGGAAGAGATGTGAATAGTAGCTTGGTTATCACAGTATAGTCTCATTGGTTTGTCAATCGAGAACCCCATCTCTTGTAGCAAGTTTTTCAACCATTCTTGTTCATATGTGGTATGAGCCATAGCTCTGTACTCAGCTTCTGCACTACTTGCCACCACTGTTTGTTTCTTGCTCTTCCAAGTTACAAGATTGCCACCAAGGAAGGTACAATACCCTGTAGTTGATCTCYTRTYTRATAYAGAAYCARCCCAATCARCATCTGTATACCCTACTATTTCAAGAGTCCCTCCACTTTGGTATAATAAATCACGACCTGGAGCCCCCTTCAGGTACCTAACAATCTTTAAAACTGCTTCCCAATGAGGAATCCGAGGATGTTGCATAAACTGGCTCACCATACTCATAACAAGTGATATATCTGGCTGGGTAATAGTCAGATAATTCAACTTTCCCACCAACCTCCTGTATCTTCCCGGATCATCAAACTCTTCACCTACATCAACACTCAACTTGACATTAAGTTCCATTGGAGTCTCTGCTGGTTTAGCACCTAACAGTCTTGTTTCTTCATGTAGGTCAAGAACATATTTTCTTTGAGAATCCATGCCTTGACCTTGCAACTTCTATTCCCAGGAAGTAATTCTACTTACCCAAATCTTTCGTATTGAAGTGGTCCTGTAGGAATTTCTTCAACCTATCAATCCCATTACTGTCACTCCCAGTTATGACAATATCATCCACATACACCACTAGCAAGATTTTCCCATCTTTTGAGTCATGGCTGAACACAAAATGGTCTACCTAACACTGTTTCATCCCAAAGTCTTTCACTAATTCACTGAACCTGCCAAACCATGTGCATGGAGATTGTTTCAGTTCATAAATTGCCTTTTTGAGTCTACAAACCTTACCATCCTCCCTCTAAGCAACAAACCCTAGCGGTTGCTCCATATACACTTCCTCAATGAGATCACTATGTAGGAAAGAATTTTTGATGTCAAGTTGCACAAGAGGCCAATCATACATAGCAGCTAATGAAATCAACACCAGAACTGAACCAATTTTAGCCACAGGAGAAAATGTCTCCATATAGTCCACACCATACAACTAAGAATAGCCCTTGGCCACTAACCTGGCCTTCAATCGCTCCACACTGCCATCTGGAAGACACTTCACTGTGTAGGCCCACTTACACCCAACTACATGCTTATTAGGAGGAAGAGCAGTGAGTTCCCACGTGTGATTGTGTTGTAGAGCAGAGAGTTCTTCTTCCATGGCTTGCTGCCACCCTGGGGAGGTAAGGGCTTCTTGAATAGTCTTGGGAATGGAAACCGATAATAGCGATGATATAAAGTTGCGATGAGAAGCAGAAAGGTGAGCAGTTGAAACATAGTGTGAAATAGGATGAGAAGTACAAGTGTGTTTACCTTTCCACAGGGCAATAGGAAGATCAAGGTCCAAGGGAGAAGAAGCAATGACAGGATCTGTCAATGGGGGCTGAATTGGAGGAGGGGCCGGTGCTCTTCTGCAACTGGAATGGGAACCACGGGAAGGGGATCCGCAATAGGGACGAGAAGCAGAACTACGGGGGAAGGAGAAGAAACTACAGTATCCGAGAAAAAATGAAACGATTCAAAGAAGGTGACATCGAAGCACACAAATGACTTAGGGAAGTTAGGGTTATAGCACCTATACCCTTTTTGAGTCTTTGAGTAGCCAAGGAAGATACACTTATTATCTCGTGCATCTAACTTGTCTAAACCAGACCCCAAGTTTTGAACAAAACAAATACATCCAAAGACTCTTGGGGTGAGAGGAAACGGAGACAAGGTGGGAAACAACACCGAGAAGGGGGATTGACTTCCAAGGATGGACATGGGCATCCGATTGATGAGAAAATAGGATGTGAGGACAACATCACTCTAAAATTGCTTTGGGACATTCATATTAAGCATCAAAGATCGGGTAGTTTCAAGGAGATGTCGATTTTTCCTTTCAGCTACACCGTTCTGTTGAGGGGTGTAGGCATAAGAAGTTTGATGATTTATCCATGGTGCTCTAAGTATTGTTGAAATGGTATTGAGGTGTACTCTTTGGCATTATCAGAGTGAATAATTTTAATATGAACACCAAATTGGGTATGTATTTTAGCATAAATTTTTTGAAAAATAGAGAACAATTCACTGTGATATTTCATAAGATAAATCCATGTCATCCTTGAAAAATCATCAACAAAAATTACA